CCGACTGTCTTACCAAAGCAGTAAGTGCTGATAAGATCAAAGACTTTATCGCTAGATCAAGTCTAGTCAATATATACCAATCAAGGATTCCAGCTTCCTAGCTTAAGGGGGCGTGTTAGAGATATAAGCTAGTCAGCTGATCTCTAGCAGAATCCGGGTGCTTGGCTAACACCTAGATTCTATCATTAGTCTGCCAAGACTGTGATAAAAGACTGTAATAATCGATCAACATACATCTGATCGATCAAACAGATATCTATTACGCTAAAGATTACGCAAGCTATTACGTGGCAGATTCTTCTAGAATCTGATATAGTCAAATATATATAGTAGTAGATCAGCGAAGTAGATAGAACTAGAGGAAACCCAACAGTCTACTAGACAGTCAATCAGATCACAGTTTTACTTCAGTTACTCAATCTCCTCTCCCCTAGCAAATACCTGCCGAGTGCTAGATCTATCGATCAACCAGAGCTACCGCTGATATATCAAGTAGCTCTACCACTCCTTAACAGGTCATACCTCTCTGGCGTAGCCCTTTACAACTACTACCTACTGCTACTATTGAGCCCTTACCCTACTGTTCCGTGTCTAAGTTACTGATAGTGTAACGGGCTAAACGCCCTTCGCCTCCCATACTCGTCTACGACCTCGTTTACTCCACCTGCCCGGCCTAATTGTTACCCTAGCAACCAGCATTGTATATAGATAGCTACGTAGCCGAGAGCTTAGCTCTCTATCGAATACAATCTTGTTACCTTGGCCTGTCCGATCGTGCTCCCGAGCTTAAGACTACCCTCCGGGGTCGAGCCCCTTACAGATAGTACTAACACTTATTATTTGAAACTTAGTACCTTAATTTATAGTATTTAATCAGTTTTTCTTATCTATAATAACTAGTCTAGATAAGCGGATATGATATAAAATTAAACCTTTTCATTTCTAAGTTCTTTATGAGATACTTTAGAAAAACAAGTTATTGCTTTGGTAACTAGAGTGATAGTTGATGACTAAGCTAAGCAGAAGAACAGCGCCTTACTAGATCGGGCTAGCCGGTGGCACTGGGGCGTGGCGAGTCCATCATTTGCTACGCTTGGAGTTGTCTTTTCGGGCGTGTTCTGGCTGCAATGCGATTCCCACGCGCTCGGTCGGCCGTCACGCCACCATCCGCCACCTGCGCCTTCCAGGGTCCCACCCAGTCGCGCCGTTGGCGTGCCAGCCTTGACCGCGCATTTGTACGGCCCTTAATACACCGAATCCCTAGTACGCGTACCACTCTGCCCAAACACCTTCACCCCTCCCACTAGCGACCATGGCCTACTCAGCATACCAACCCAAGGCGCGGGTGCAGAAGCCCGCGCCGCCCTTCAGCGGCACCGCTGTGGTCGACGGCACATTCGAAGGTACGTGGCCCGCCTGGTGTGCCTTGGACACGCGCCCGCTGACAGGCCCTGCCCAGAGCTCAGCTTGACAGCCTACACATCCAACAAGCAATGGCTGGTCCTCGGCTTTGTGCCAATGGCCTGGACCTTTGTCTGCCCAACCGAAATCCTGGCCTTTAGTGAGCGCGCCGCCGATTTCGCCGCGCGCGGCGCCAGCGTCGTCTTCGCCAGCACAGACAGCGAGTACAGCCTGCTCGCGTGGACCAATGCCAGCAAGAGAGACGGCGGCCTGGGCAAGATCAACATCCCGCTGCTCAGCGACAAGAACCACCAGATTTCCAAGGACTACGGCGTCTTGATCGAGGACGAGGGCGTGGCCCTGCGCGGGCTCTTCCTGATCGACCCCAGCGGCATTGTGCGCCAGATTACCATCAACGACCTTTCCGTCGGGCGCTCTGTCGACGAGACGCTGCGGCTGATTGACGCCTTCCAGTTCACGGACAAGTACGGCGAGGTATGTACATGGCCAGCTGCTTGGCCGCAGCCGTGTATATGTGGATGCCCGAGTGCTGACTGCAATGCCTTAGGTCTGCCCTGCCAACTGGAACCCCGGCGACGAGACGATCAAGGCGACGCCCCAGGGCAACAAGGAGTATCTCGCCAAGGTGCATGCCGACACCAAGATGGCCGACGTTGCGCCCAAGACCAACGGTAAGGTTTCGGCAGCGCCTTGAGCCTGGCGGCGCGTGGCTCGACAAGACTACTGTATACAGGCCGTGTGCTGATAGCCCACTCTGCAGGCACTTGTTAAGGCGAAGACTGGCCGGCTGGCGCAGCCGTGCAATGGTATCCTGGCGTTGTTGCGACGCCGTGTGCATTAATTGGCGTTGTGTGTGTCGCGCGTAGATAATTTGCGGTCCCGCCGCGCAGCTCAGCCGTCTGGCTGGCTGGCTGGCCGCTGAAGACGTCCCTCAATAGACTGTACAAAACTCGCAGAGCCCCAGCATGTGCATGTCGCGAGTGATCATGTGAGCAGAGGCAGGCTGGAGCATGGCGCCGTGGCTAGCGCCCGCTTGGCAGTCGGCTTGGCCACGCGACATGCGCCCACGTCTCGGCCTCATTCGACATGGCTCACCAGCCACTCTCCAATCATGGAACCTCGACTAAATGCCCTACTAGACCTCTCCAGTCACGGCGCCATGGCCTCTGCCACGAATGCCTCGGATGCTGCCTCGTCTACGTCGCAGCGCCCACCCCATCACGGCGATGCTGCTTTTGTGCCGCCCAAGGCACTCATGCTGGCCGCCTCGTCGTCTCCTGACCACGCCCAGCCAAGCCATGTCCGCAGGGAGGCACACGACAGAATCTATCCCCCCCGAGCCATGCCCAGTGCCCCCATAGCACAGGTCCTCAACAATGAGGGCAATCTGCTTTCTGCGCACTCGGTTCCCAATGCCCTGGCTCCGTCGGCTACTCCCTTCAGCGGCCGCCTGGTCGATCTCCTGTTGGAGAGCCCCGAGCACACCAAGCAGCGCTGGGACCAAGACCAGCAGTTCTTGCAGCCCGAAACCACGGGATACAGCCCGTCAGTCATCAAGCTCCCCAGACTTCCACAGCCTCCCAAGAAGACGGCAAAGCGGCCTAGGATACCCCCGCTCTTACAGGGTCTCCATCAGCCCCCGCCATTGCCGCCCGAGGGCAGGTTGTTCCCACCCATTACTGGCGAAAAGAATGCCTTTGTGGGTGAGAGAGGGTACGATGCATTGTTCGAGGAGCCGCGAACCAAGGACGTGGAAGATTACGCCTTTTTCGAGAATGGCGCACAGGAACTCGCCAAGAGTGCTCAATTAGGGGACCATGCGTCGACCAGCCAGGCGCCCGCGCAGAGTGCACCGCTGGGTGGAACAAGTGCCGTCCAAGAGAGCCATGTGCCATTGTCCAAGGAGCCCAGCACCCAAAGCCAGAATCAGGCCAAACGTGGAAAGAAGCGGACTAGGTGGTCGGAACACGAGACCAAAGACTTGCTTATAGGCGTGAGCAGATATGGCATTGGAAACTGGAAGAAGATATTGCAATGCCCAGAATTCAACTTCAACAATCGCACTGCCGTCGACTTGAAAGACCGGTTCCGTGTATGCTGCCCTGGCGAAGGCTTGAAACCGCGGCAGCCCAGGACTACCGACAAGGAGAAGAGCACGGATGAACATTCAGGCCAGCCAGACACTTTCCAAGACCAGCATCTAACCACTGAGAATACTGATAGTACAGTGGGGGCAGTACAGCAGCAAAAATCACAGTCGACACGCACCACCAAAACCACGGCCTCAGTCCCTAAGCTCTCTGACCTTGGCATCCACGAACCTTTTTCAAAAACTGCACGGCGCCCCCGCCGCCCCTTTACGGCTGCCGACGACATCAATCTCCTCAAAGGCTTTGAAAAGTACGGACCAGTTTGGCACTTTATGCGCGACGATGTCGAGCTCGACTTTGGCGCAAGACACGCGACCGACTTGCGCGACAGGTTCCGCATCCGGTACCCAGACAAGTACGCCAAGGCAGGGTACAAGCTGAAATCCAAAGAAAAGGATCGCGAAAGAGCAAGGAGGGGTGTGAATGCAGAAAGCAGAGGGGACGCCGCAGAAGACGACGATGCAGAGGCTGAGGGAGAGGCACAACAAGTCAGTGCTAGTAGTCACTCACAACAAGCCGGCGCAACCACTTCATCTCGCCATGCAACCAGCACTGACAACACCAATATCAAACTCGGAATCAGCGACGAAGCAAACAAACCCAAACCCAGCAATCCCAGCACAACATCGTCGTTTCCGCACACCTTTACCACATGTTCCTCCTCTTCCTCCGCCCTCCTCCCCTCACACCTCCAATACACCTCTCTCACCACCACCAGCACCACACTAATCGCGCCCCTAAAACCCTTCTCCTCATCCTCATACCTCTCCGACCCACTACCCACGCTCCCCTTTTCCGACGACGAAGACCTCACAGACGACATGGGGAATCCCGCACATAACCACCATTACCACGATAACAATAACAATAACAGTGGCGCAATAGGAGGACCGGGAATAGGCGACGAAAGCCCTATTACACTCAGTAGGAATATCCTGCGCTGGGCTGATGCGAATCCCTCGTCGCTGTACGCTGTCACGCCCATGGCGAGGTATAGGGCTGCTAGTGCTAATAGTGCTAATAATAGCGGTGGAGTTGGAATAGCCATCTCTACACCATCAGCACAAGCACAAGCTCAAGGCGATGCAATAAGAACAACAGGCAATAATATCCTGCTTGAAGCCGATATCTGGCCTTTTTCCTCGGCGGAACGCACCCACCAGCAGCAGCAGCAGCAGAGTTTGGCTGCGTTCAAGTATCGCGGTGGGAATTAAATCATTTATTCAATCATTTATTTATTTATTTATTCATTTGTTACAAAATAAAAATTAATAATGAAAAGTACAAGTGGAGGACAAGACAAGATGGGAAAGGAAATAGCGATACGGACGGGAATAATATAGTAATCTGTATGGGGAGAAGAGACAGAGAGACAGAGAGACAGAGAGGGAAAGGGAGAGATGATAAAGTTGGCATTATATTAGCTAGGAATCTAGCATTCTTCATTTCCCCCCCTTCCTTTTCTTCCCATTGATTCCACTTTGCACATGACGTTTCCGGTTTCCGGTTCCGGTTTCCGTTTCCGTTACATGACGATACTTTTACAGTACAGTACAGTACAGTACAGTACTTCTAGCTACCAGCATCGAATCTCCACGCGTGTCTGACGAAATCAGCTTCCAAGAAAGAAAAACGACCCCCCCCCCTCGTCTCGCATTCTCCGGTAAAAAAACAGTCTACCTCGCACTCTGACAAATAGCGATACAAAACTGGCGGAAATCGCCTTTAGTCGCCTCCTCGATATCTTCTTCCACCATTCTACCGTACTTTTCCTCGTACTCGGCCATGGCGCGCATGAGATGCAGCCGGTCCCAGTGGAGGCGCACGAGGCGCGAGATGAGGAGCTCGACTCGCTGCTGGCGGTCGTGCTTGGCGGAGGAGGAGGAGGAGGAGCGGGCGTCGGTGGGGGGCTCGATGAGGTCCATGAGGGCGTGGTGCAGGAGCATGGCGTCTCTGGCGGGGCGGTTGACTAAGAAAAGCGATTTAGTTTCGTGTATTTCTTTTTTTTCTTTCGATTTCTTTCAGGGCAAAGAGGAAAGACTTACTGACGCCATTGAGGATGTGGGCAATGACTTCGCCAACGAGATTGTTGCTTTTTTTCAGTGCGTCTCGCGCAAAGTTGGCGTGGTACTTTCGCTCGTATGTTCGGAGTACCTCGCGCAAGTGGGCGTCGCTGCGCATCACGACGATGCTGAGCATGGTGCTTTCGCCGCCTTCTCTGGCATTGATGGCTCGGTATAGCGTGTCGACGTCGCGATTGCAGTACTCGGGCGGCCATACGTCGCTCTCTTCCTGGCGCTGGGCATCTAGCGCCATCAAGACGGCCTTGCGAAACTTGTCTGCCTTGAGCTCCTTGTCCATGCAGCGGGTCAGCGAATCGCCGTAGCGCTTGTCCTTGAACGTATCCTTGATTTCGCGGATTTCGTGGTTTTGGCGGCCCATGAGCGCTTCAATGAGGAGTTCGCGTCGCGCAGAGTTGGATTGGTACCAGTAGTTTGCCCAATAGCCCTCGCTCTCGTACTTTCCAAGAGCCGTCACGTAGGCAATTTTTCCAAAACTGCCGCTTGTCTTCAACTTGATGTGTTTGGCAATGTTGATACCTCTGCCCTGAACTTTGCAATGTCGCTTGTACTCGGCCCTTAGCTCAAGCAACTGGTCATGCGAAAGCGCAGGAATGATGTCGATAATGGTATCAGCATTGGGTGTTCGCTGGGCCATGGCTTCCACGAGCGCAAGCGCATCGTCGGTCGCATCGTATATCCTCACTCTGCGCTTCTCCTTCTTCTCTGGAGAGCGATCATTCCGGCCATATGCTGCCAGAGCCAGTTTGTCGGCGTTTTTGGAAGGTCGCGACTGACTTGGAGATCGGCGCGAGGATGAATGAGCGCGGCGATGGCCGTGTTTAGAACGATTGGAACTTCGGCGCTCGAGAGCATCGAGCGGCTGCAGATGGTCGAGGTGCTGGTCGTCCAGCATGAGTGCCTGGGGCATAGGACTGATTGACTGGTATGTACCGTGGTAGGCCTCGAGCAAGGGACTTGGTGGTGGCAGTCCATTTGAGTATCCGCCAGGCATGCCTCCAGGTACAATTGTCTGTAAATCCGGTCTGTTACCGCTGACAGACAGCCTGTCGGGACGGAATCCGTCTGACCTCTCTGGGCCGCTAGAGTATCCTCCAGGCACGATTGTCTGCAAGTCTGGTCTGTTACCACTCACAGACAGCCTGTCTGGGCGATATCCGTCCGGCCTGTCAGGTCCATTCGAATAACCACTAGGCACGATTGTCTGCAAATCCGGCCTATTTCCGCTCACAGACAGCCCGTCGATGCGCAATCCCTCTGGCCGCTCCGTTGCGCCCAGGTGCCCCTGCGGGCGCACCTCGACCACATTGAGACCATCATTTGTACTCATAGCGCCAGAGTATGAAGCCGCGCGACGGTGGTCCGGAAGCGGCGAGTGACGGCCGATTGGCGGTGGTGGGAACGAGCGCTCGAGCGCTGGGGGTGCTTGAGGTGCTTGGGGCATGGTGGTGTATTTAGGCTGCGACTGGGGCGCCTGCGACATGGTCGGATAGGGAGCAGTGGGCGAGGCGACATTTGGCACGGCTGTATACTGAGGCTGGGCGGGCGGAGGGTAGGAAGGCTGAGAGGTGTGTCGCACAAGGGGCGGCTGGTTGGGGTTTGCGACAGGCTTGGCCGTGTAGGTGATGTTGGACGGGGGAGTCGCATACTGGAAAGCGCCGTCTTTGGCGTGCGGGCTGGAGGCGGGCGCAGACGTGTAGGAGAAGCTGTTTCCCGTGGGCGCATACTGGACGGTGCCTGGCTGGGCATACTGGACGCCGCCAGGGGCAGGGGCAGCATAGGCGGGGCGCTGGTGGGGAGGGAGGTCGCCGTAGTTGCCCATGGTGATGGGCTGGCTCTGTGGTCTGGCGGCCATGTCTCAGTTCGTCTTGCGCAGAGGGATTGCGGGAGAGAAGACATTTCCAAATGTCGGGAGTCGCTGTACTCACGTCGCATATTGCTGATCTGGCTGCCTGATTTCGAACTGCGGGGTCGGCGCGCCGTCAGCTGGCCCATATCGCTGAGGCTCTCGCACATGGCTGTGGCTGCGGCTGCGTGAATGGTCGCGCTCTCGCCCATGTCCCGGCGACTTGGACCGCGAGCGCCTGGAGCCACTGTCGGGGCGTAGCGACATGGTGTCTTTTGCGTGGGTTTGTTTTTTGCGTGCGCGGACAAGCAGCTCGTGCGTGGTCGAGGGCTAAGCGCTGGGTGCCAGAGTCGGGGGCGCGTCGCTGTCCAGAAAATGCGAGGGCGGGAGGCTGCCACCCATTGAGGCTGGCGTTCGCATGGTCGGCTTTGGGGGCCAAGCTGAACTCGGCACGCCCATCTTCCTGGCGCTGCGAGTCGCGACGAGGATCCGAGGGTCCGCTTGTATCGTGGAGATGGTCCACAGAAACAAGACAGTGACAGCGTTGGCGTCTGACAGGACGACTCCAGCAGGATTACCTGTCTGGGGGCGGGGGCAACTGGTGCCGAAGCCAACAGGAAATGCCCGCCTTGCTTTCCTTGCAGTGCGCCTCTTGGCAACGGCCAGGAAAAGAAATTTCTGAGCAGAATTTGAGCAAAACAACCACTGCTATCGCCCTGCTCCGGCCTGTGCCGACATCCTCATCGCTGCTGGCACGGCGTGGGTCTCCAACTCACCGCTTGAGCCATTCGTTTCGCCGCCTCTGGGGTGCCAGTGGGGACTCGTTCCCTACACCATCTTTCAGCCGCAATCATGACTGGCTGAATTAGCCCGTCACCATGGCTTCTTGAACACGGTGCTAGGGGGACCTTTCGGCCCAATGCCACGCTGAATCGATAACGCTGTCAGCCCGTGGCTTATAGGCGGTCTATCAGCAGCACCCGTCGGGCGACCGCACAGTTAAAGCTGAGACGACATCGCCGCCAGCCATGGCTCTCATTTTGACATCTTGCTACCTCGCATACCATGGCTACCGTTGCGCTCCCAGAAACCCTCCAGCCCCAATCGCCGCTGCTCCAGCTGCCACCCGAGATCAAGCACATCATCTTCGCCTTGTGCTTGGCTGCCGACACTCCCATCTCCGACCCACGCATTGGCGGCCCTACCAAAGGGCCAGTCTGCAATCAGGCGTCGAGGCTTTCTCTGCTTCAAACATGCCGCAGGATGTACCATGAAGTCGACAGTCGACCGTTTTTCGCACACAACACCTTTCGTTTCTCAAGCCTCGATACGATGCGTGCCTTTCTCCGCGCACTGCCCGAAGACTACAGAACGCGCATTCAAGATGTTGAAATCGACCTGGCCCTGCTGAACTCTGACCGCCCCCACGTCACACATGAGTGGCTGCAATATCTGGCATCCAAGAGGGATGACGGCATGCCTTCGCTGCGTGCGGATACGGGCGGCGTCAAGTGTCTTCGGCTCAATCTCAACGCATGGCCCCTCATCGCCATGACCCGATGCGAGCTTTGGGACGTACTCCGGGGTATTCTGAAGGGACTGGCCCATGTCGAGAGGATCGTTGTGACGGGCGCGAGTAGAGGCAAATCAATGGCTCAGAAGGCGCCGTGGTCGCCAGTCCACTTTGTTGGCGGAGACAACGTCGGCACAAATGACCTGCTCGCGCGAATGAGCAACTGCGTCGTTACCAGGCCCGGCCAAGACAAGGTGATCAAATGGCTACGAAGAGACGGAAAGCTGCAACTCGAGGTCGTGTCGACAGCTCATGCAGGGGGAAGTGCCGGTGCGCACTTGTCAGCGCCTGATCCCTGGCCCCTGAATGGTTCGTGTACCTTTTCTGCTTACGAGCAATATCGCCTTCAAACAACGAGCCACCTCAATCCCAATGTCTTCGGATGACGGGTCTAGCCGGATCCCATGGGCCGTGAATTTCGTTCTTGTACTTTTGCAGACCAATCAACCACCAGCTGCACACTCCCATGGCGAGGAACGTAAGGATGCCTCCTAGAATTGCGCCTGCTATAAACGTGCCTCGGCCGTTTCCTGTGAGGGTGACAAAAAGACCACCCCATGCACATGTCACCAGCGTGACGGTCAGAGCGAGATGGCCCCATGTCGACCGAGCACGCAGCTGGCGACGGAAGATGGGAAACAGGCCAAATACCTCGATGGAGAATAGGGTCAGTGAGAAGACATGGGTGGTAGACGGCAGACGCGAGGCAAGAACCGCCGATGCCATCATGGCCGAGTTTGTGGATATCGAGGCTGGTAGTCTAGAGGCTGCATGTTAGCTGCTGGCGTGACAGGCGGCGTGTGGATAGCTCATACTGTGCGTCTGTACCCGCCGTGTAATCAAAGAATGCAACGTTCATCATCAACAGCCATGTGCTCAGTGCCCAGATGGAATCGCTTGTTGTCGAGCGGGTAAGCGACTTGAGAATGGGACTGAGCCCCAGCAAAGCCGCATAGATCAGAACCGCGGATTTGGCCGTTGCCAGGCGCTGCTTGGCCCGGGGCGAAAGTGACTGCGAGGCTCTGGGCACCGCCTCGCCCGTCTCTGGCTCTGGTGCAGGCGTCAGAGGGACGCTGGCGACGGCCTTGAACTCCTGGCCCATCCAATGGTCCCACAGGAACCAGGCCAGCACAGTGCATAGGCTAGCCCACCCAACCACGGCGACAGGCGACACTCTGCCGTGAATGATGGCGATGAAGCAGCAGCAGAAGATGATGACGGACGCTAGATGCTGCACAATGACGGTGGCGTCGGCCATGAGCGACCAAAACTCATACGGCTGCAGCCGGGGGTTTCGCTGGAGGTGGTCGAGAAACGTGGTCTCGTCGGTGTAGTTGTCGGGGACTGTGCACGTGAGCAAAGGCGTCTACTCTGGTGGGCTACCGCGCGACTCACAGGGTTGCTTGAACCACAAAAGCTTCTTGTAGTGGCCCTTTGGTTGCCGACTTGACATGCGCAGCCCGCCTTTTCTCTTCCTCGCAGACGCCGCAAAGGATGCGCCTGCGGGATCAAGCAGCCTGCTAGCATTCATGTCATGGACCGATGCCACCTGATCAACGTGCGTGTAGTTGGGGGAGAAACACTAGTAGAAGGGATGAATTGTGGCTGTCGACAGCATGCCGCTAGCCCCAAACGAGCCACGCCATTATCCCCGCGATTAATTCCGACAACCTTGAGCGCAACTCATCCATTACACATTATCTGCGGTTCAGCGTTGTCCAAGCCACCATGATTCTCCTCAGCTTGGGCACCGTGGCCCGCCCAGCCTTGATCTTGAATTTGTCCTGTCTCAGCACACGCCCGATTTCCATGTAGCTCTCCACTGCAACCCGGATAGGCCCCCGGGCCTCGGCGGGCAGACGTTCAATGGCATCCTTGGTCGTTTCATAGAGTGAAAAGGCATCATGCAGAAGCTGCTTGCGCAAAGACTCGAGCTTGGCTTGGCTCGGCCTCTGCAAGACATCATCATAGCGGAGCCCCGCATCAGACAGCCACTTCAAAGGAAGATACACACGGCCAATCTTGGCATCGACTCCAATGTCCCGCGCAATGTTGACATACTGCAGTGCCACGCCCATGTTGTTGCCAGCAGCGACGATGCTACGCTGTTCCTCGGCCGACATTGTGCTTGGGTACCAGCAGAAGATGAGCTCTATGCACATCTGCGCTACTGTGCCTGCCACGCGCTCCGAGTACAGTCGCAGATCCTCGGTCGTCTTGATGAGCGGCCCCTGGTCAAATGCAAGATCCATCTCGAATCCCTGCAGAAGCTCTTCCAGCGGTTGGGGCGACAGTTTGGCGGCGGGCAGTTGGAGGAGCGCAGACTGCGTGCCAAGCGGAAAGTCTTCGCAAACCTGAGCATGCATGGTAGAAGGCGCCACTTTGTCGCTATACACATTGCTCAGGAACTTGCGCAGTTTGGCTATCCAGGCCTTGGCCTCATCGGCATCCGAAGCATTGTCCACCAAGTCATCAGCAACACGGCAAAACGAGTAGAGCAGCAGCAGGTCCGCCCGCAAAGGTCCAGGGAAGGTCGCAGAGGCGAGGTAGAAACTGCGACTCTTGCGCTTTAGACGCAGCACCGCCTCATCAAGGCCCTGGAGCCGTGCAGCGTCGTACTTGGAACTGGGCGTTAGAAGGGCCCGCATCAAGACAGCCGGCGATGGCAGCAGCGACGGGTCCGCGAACAGGCCCGGAAAAGTGTACAGCACGGCTAGAGCGTTGTCGAACGCCAATTGACCAAACACTATAAGCGTGTTGGTGACAAAGAAGAACAAGGCCTCCTCTATTTCCAACCCGTCCCATACATGCACAGCATACTTTGTGCCCACACTTATTACCCAGGTGCCCCTACGAAGTGCCAGTGTGTCGACGATCCAGAGGTAAAGCGTTGGGAGCAGGATAGGCAGCGCTGTGTTGGTTAGCGGTAGCATGACAATAAACTGGTATGCTAGGCTCCTGTCTCTCTCATTAGCGTCGGGCCAAGGACCAGATGCAGACTCCATACCATAGCAGCAGAAGGAAAGGGCAGGCCCAGATCAAGATGAGACCAGTATATGTTCCCTCGCCGCCTTCTTGGACACGGCGCCATCCCCATGCAATCAAGCCCAGCAGGAAGACTTGGCCAGCAAGCTTCGTGGCTCGCCATGAGTTGCGCGACGGGCCTGATTCAATCCTCAGATAGACGGGCTGAAAGGTGGGTCTGGTGAGGAGCAGGTAGAGCAGCGAGGTGTTGTATGTCTGGATGAAGAAGAAGAAGACCTCCTCGAGCGGAATGTCATAGAGTTTGGGGCCGACGATGACATGGCCGGGGTAGCTCCAGATACCGGTGCGGATGAGGTACGAGTCCCATGGTATCGTCGAGAGAATGGCAACCTTGCGTCGTCAGCACAGCGAGCGCAGCACGCGCTGGGGGGCGGCGGGCATACACACCAGGACCAGAAAGACGACCTTGTACGCGTCGAGCTTTGTGTAGAAGGGGCGGTAGAGCCAGGTCAGCAGCACGGCCGGGGGGATCGTGTACTTGAGGTGCCTAGCCGTCGCTGTCAGCCATGGTGGTGTTTGCACCGCTTATCTGGGGGCGCGTCACCTACACCAGCGCGTAGTCAAAGCCCATGATGGAACCGTGAGAGGCAGCAGAGGAAACGACCGGCAAGATGTGCAATTGGCGTCACTCGTGGGCCCAGTGCAAGGGAAACCGGCTGGGCTGCGGCGAGTGTGCGGCAAACACAGGATGTCGCAGAGCTTCCATGGCGCGAAGTATTTGCGACCTGGATGCCGCGCCCGCTGTCAACCGGCAATGCAGGATGCACGTGGCCCAAAGCGGCTAGCCGCCCATTCAAGCTTCGCCATGACATCACCATACGCCCGCCGCCATCTGCTCAACAGCTCCTGTTTTACCACTCTGGCCCCACGACTCCCGGTCTCTTACACGCGCCTGCATCATGCCATCGGGCCACGGCCCTCACCCCACCTGCCACCGGGCCAGGGGGGCTGTCGACTTCCGCGGCGCTACTGGACGCGACATGTGAATGTCAAGCTTGCTATATACAAGGACGCGGACCAACAACCACCCATCTCTGTCTCTCCTACACACCCCGCCCCCTCGGCCGCCCAATGCTGCCAAGATAGCCGCTCCGTCATGTCCAGGCCTGGACAACGCAGCAAGCCCACTCGACGACACCCGTACGTTGCCGCCGCTGCGCCCTGCCCGTCGAGCTCTGTCTAATGTCATCGCAGGTACCTGTCGGGCAACTTTGCGCCAGTCACCAAGTCATGGCCGCCCACGCCAGTCTCATGGACCGGCCGCATTCCGGAAGAACTGCTGGGCGGGATGTACGTCCGCAATGGCGGAAACCCCGTGACCAATGCCGACCTGGGCCGTGAGGCGCATTGGTTTGACGGCGATGGCATGCTGTCAGGTGTCTGGTTCAGTCGCTCGCCCACGGACCCCACCCAGCCCGCTGTCCGCTTTGTCAACCAGTTCATCCTCACCGACGTCTATCTCACCGCCGTGGAGAACCCCGCCCTGCGCACCCCCATTCTGCCAAGCATTGCAACGCTTGTCAACCCCGCATCCAGCCTATTCTGGATTCTCTGGAGGATACTCCGCACCGTGCTGGTTGTACTGTGGACACACCTCTCCGGGTCTGCCAGCGCCATCAAGCGAATCAGCGTTGCAAACACGAGTGTACTGTACCACGATGGGCGTGCCCTGGCCACCTGCGAGAGCGGCCCGCCCATGCGCATCCAATTGCCTGGCCTCGAGACCGTTGGGTGGTTCAATGGAAGTAGCGCCGAGGGTGAGCCCGCCTCGCAAGAGGTCAGCCATGATGGCGATGCAAAACACGAAACCTTTGGCGGAACGGGACTGCTGAGCTGGATGGGGGAGTGGACTACTGGCCATCCAAAAGTTGACAATGTGACGAATGAGCTGGTTCTCTTTCACTGCAACTTTGTGCCGCCCTATGTGCACTACTCATTGCTCCCGGCAGAGAACTCGTCTGCAGGCCAGAGCGACTCCGAGTCCAAGGCCATAGTCAGTGCTGCGGTGCCGGGGTGCTCGGGCGGACGGCTGATGCATGATTTTGGTGTTTCGAGGCATCACACGGTCATTCTTGACATACCGCTCTCGCTGACTCCACTCAACCTGGCCAAGAACAAGCCCGTCGTGGTGTACGAGCCCGAGAAGCCAGCGCGATTCGGTGTGTTTCCACGCCGACACCCCGAGTTGGTGCGTTGGTTTGAGACGGATGGGTGTTGCATTCTGCATACAGCCAACACGTGGGATGAGTACGACAGCAGCAACCAAGTGGTGGCGGTCAACATGCTGGCTTGTCGCCTGACTTCGGCATCGCTGGTATTCAGCGCGGGCAACATTGAACCTCCGCCACACCCCAGTCGCAAAGAAAAGTCACGCAGCAGGCCCATGTCGTTCTTTGCCAAGTACATTGACGATGAAGATGACATGGACCCCGAAAAGCGGTCGCTGGAGGAAACATCACCTTTGCTGGGCAATTCAGAAGAGCCGGGTCCTTGGACACGGCGTCCGAATATACCGATATCGCACGATGATGAGGAGCAGTGCCGGTTATACTACTACCGCTTCTCGCTGCAGGCAGGGTGCAACGCGATCACGCACGAGTTTGCACTGTCGGCCATTCCGTTTGAGTTTCCTACCGTGTCGCCGGTTACGGACATGACACGAGCACGTTATGTGTATGGGTGCAGCACTTCGGACGAGTCATTTGGTGCAGCGCTGGGCAAGGCGACGAAAATCGATGTGCTGGTGAGAATGGACATTCAAGGTCTGCTGACGCGGGCGCACCACTCAGCTCCGGCGACGGTGAGCGGGTGCGTCGATGGCCGTTCGATGGATGAGATTCTTGCATCGGATGATGCCAACGACACAATCAAAGCATTCCGGCTGCCGGCGAATCACTTTGGACAAGAAGCCAGGTTTGTAGCGCGGAAGGGGTCGAAGCATGCGGGCAGTGACGAGACAGGCTCGGCCGAGTTGGACGGATACCTGCTCTTCTATGTGTTCAACGAAGAGCAGCTAGACGAGGATGGTGAATGCAGGCCTGATGCCAAGAGTGAGCTGTGGGTGCTGGATGCAAGAGATATGCAGACGATTGTATGCAAGGTGCAGCTGGCAACCAGGGTGCCGTATGGCCTGCACGGAAACTGGTTCACCGAGGAAGACATTGCCCGCCAACGACAGGTTGAACGGACGCGATCCGAGACACGCAGTGGTAGTGATGGGCGATCGAGTCGATTTCAGAAGAGCATTGCTGGTCGTCTTGGCTGATAAGGTTGGGATTTAAGTTTAATATGGTGCTTACATGGGGCCACGAGGTTTGCGGGGTTAGCATTGAGGGGTAGGGTAATACATAAGCAGTAATGTCTTGTACATGAGTACATTTGTGCAGCGGTCTTGTTTCTTGGGCCCAAGACGGCGCTATGCAGGGTTGGGCGGCACATGACGGGCGATGGGCGTGGTGGATGGCCAGAAGTTTCCGACCGAGTCGAGCAACATGTTGATCTGGCGGCGGGAATAACGGCTGGGGTGGGCCACGGCTGGTTGCGCATGTGTGCGATCAGTGTGACGGATGGACGACTGACGTAAACGGCGACTCATTGTGGCTGCGGGCGGCCGGTACGCAGGGCGCATGTCGATGTCGAAGTAAGCTTGTGAGATCAGCACTATAAAGCTTAAGTGCCAGTGGCGTGACAGTTGCAAGTGGGGGCGGGCGCATCCACACCCACCGATGCATCTGGGCGATGCGGAAACCGCGGGCACTAGACGGCGACGAGGCCACGATGATCGTCACGGCATGGGCCTGATGTGCCGTGATGAAGAAAGTGAAAGCGAAAGAGGAGGTCCAGTCACACGGCATCGCAGATCTCTGGCGAACAAGGCCGAGTCAAGGCCATGCCCGACCACTCGAGGCGGGCGGACATGCTGGAGCCAAGGCGTTGACGGTCGACACAAGAGTTCGCCCTGTCGCGCCAAAAGGCCGTCGACGCTACCCGCCTTAGTCAGCGCTGCCATTGGACACGGCGCACAGACGGGGGGGGGGCGAGGCGACGACTTGTGCTCGATATCCATGACGACATGGCTCGACCGAGACAGCAAGAGGAGGATGCATGCTGCTGAGCCATGCATGACGCCATGCTGGCCACACGACGCCATGACGGCATGACGGCATGCTTACAGCAAGCAAATCAGAGCGCGCCAGTCGGCGCCCGCACCAGAGAGAATACATATAGCAGAGAGGTATGGCATCCGTCTCTGCCTTGGTCCCAAGATACTTGGCCTTTACTGTAGAAAGTGACAAGCAACGGTACAAAGCGGACCAGGCTTTTCTTGGTACTTTTCTTGTACTGCTACTATTACTACTACTACTACTACTACTACTACTACTACTACTACTACTTCCATATACACATCGCTGAAGATGGATCTGGACCTCGAGCGCAGGAACAATGTGTTCAAGTATAACCGTAAGTGCTCGTGCCTGTCGCTGCCTGATCCATGGCAAGAAGAAGAAGAAGAAGAAATCAGATCAAATCAGCATGGAGAACACCGTCTAACATATATTACAGCCAACACGGTCAACGGCGCCACAGCCGACATAGCCCTGACGACGCACGGCTCCAACTTCTACTTTGCCATCTGCGGCGTCATGGGCTTCGCCGGCTTCGCCTTCGTCGCCATGTCGTTCAAGGTCGAGCGCCGCAACCGGCTGTTCCACTACATCACGTCTGCCGTTGTGTTTGTGGCTGCCATTGCCTACTTCACCATGGGCAGCAACCTGGGCTTCACGCCGATTGAAGTCGAGTTCAAGCGCAGCGACGCCGTCGTGCGAGGCACGTACCGCGCCATCTACTACGCTCGCTACATTGACTGGTTCATCACCACGCCGCTGCTGCTCATGGACCTGCTGCTTACGGCTGGCATGCCGTGGCCGACGATCCTGTGGGTTGTCGTCGTCGACGAGATCATGATTGTCACGGGTCTTATTGGCGCTCTCATCCGCAGCATTTACAAGTGGCCTTATTTTGTCTTTGGTTAGTCTTTTTCCAACTTCCAATCTTCCAAAAAAAATTGTAGTTGTGAGGAGCTAACATGATTTTCAAGGCTGCGTCGCCCTCTTCTACATCGTCTACATGCTCACATGGGAAGCCCGGATCCACTCCAAGACATTTGGCCGCGACGTCGAGCGCGCCTTTCTCATGTGCGGCAGTCTCACAGCCTTCCTGTGGATCCTGTACCCGATTGCCTGGGGTCTTTCCGAGGGCGGGTACGTCTTTTCCTCCCCTCCCCTCTATCAATTTTACTAACACCAACTTCCCAGCAACGTCATTGCCCCCGACAGCGAAGCCGTCTTCTACGGCGTCCTGGATTTCCTCGCCAAACCCGTCTTCGGCGCCCTGCTCCTCTGGGGCCACCGCAACATCGACCCCGCGCGTCTGGGCCTCCAGATCAGAGACTACAACGACGACACCATGTTGCATGAGAAGCACAGACAGGACCACGCTATTCGGAATGGAGAAGGTTCTGCCAACCCGCCGCTTGATGGCCCGGCTCCAGCTCCTGCTACCGCTACCGTTTAAACCAACATTTCCGACTGCTGCTGCTGCTCTGCTCTGCGATGGGATGTGATTGAGCCATGATACCTCCGTGCTAGGCTGCGGATAATGATGTTTGCTGTTGCTGTTGCCATTGCCGCCCTTGTGTAATCGACACGAGAGAAGACAAGGCAAGACATATATCTGCTTTCACGTAATGATAATGTAGTCTTGTCGCCTGTGGGATTTAATTGAGGAGGCGACGAGGACGAGAAGACTACTGGAGGTTATTAGTGGGATTTTTCATGACGTTATGAAGTAGTACGACTTAATCTAATTACTCACTCGTTCAATGCTTGTGTGTGTGTGTGTGTGTTTGAGGTGAATTGCGATAATGATTATGTGCTAGGTTCATGGGGTTAGATATATGTAGATATTGTTGAGCAGAAGAAGCTGGGGAGGGGGGCTAGTATGGGGTATGGAGGGCTTTTATGTGGACTATGTAGCGTGTGTGGTTTTGAAGATAACGTATGTGGCAAGCGAGCGCCGCAGGCAAGCGAGCGCCGCACCCCACCAAACCTGCGCACCTCTATAAGCCTGTAGTTCCACCACAATATAGTTGTTTTACTACATATTAACATAATAGATTAAGCAGTACCTAGAGTATCTTTCTTGCACGTACGCGAGTTATGGCCAGTCTCTCTGCACCTACTACAGCGCGCCAAAGCTGGCGGCTAACACTAATCGCTCTCCTCTCTGACGCTCTTCATGAGCAATCT